CCCTGGGATCTGAAGTTAGGGTAGGTGTCAGTCTGTGGCTCAGGCTGAAGTTTGTGTCCATGAGGGCCGCCGAATTAGGAGATGGACTCAGGGGGCCATGAAGTTTTTTCCCGCTCTGGGTGTTTCGCACAGCTCCAAATAGCAAGGCCTCATTCTGGGGGACCAAAGGAGTCCTGTTTTGTGGCTCAGGGGTCCCCCATATGGAAGGAATCAAGACAAGGCCTCTGGGTATGGATGCCTGAAAACCCACCCTAGGGTTAGGATTAGGGCCCGGGTCATGGCAGGCCCATCCTGCTGGCTCTGGGGTGAGCCCCCCAGGGGATTCAGTTGAAAATGGAGCTCAGGCTGAGGGTCACAATGCGGGTTTGTATCCAGGGCGACCTCCGATAGTAGTCATGGCCTCAGGGCCCATGAAGTTTTCTCCTACTCTGAGTGTTTTACCCAGTTCCAAATAGCAAGATTTTCTCCTGGGGAGCATCAGGAGTTCTGGTTTTTGGCTCAGGGGTCCCCATATGGAGGGATTCAATGCCAGGCCTCTGGGGATGGATGCCTGAAAACCCAAGCTAGGGTTAGGGATAGGGCCTAGGGCATGGCAGGTCCGATCTACAGACGCTGAGGCGAGCTCCCTGGGATCTGAAGTTAGGGCAGGTGTTGGGCGGTCACTTAGGCTGGAGTTTGTGTCCATGAGGGTCGCGGAATGTGCGGGTGATTTCAGGTGGGCCATGAAGGTTTATCCTGCTCTGGATCTATCCCCTCCATGAACACCCTTTCCTGCAATCTGAACTTTATTGTTACCTTGGCAACAGTAGAGAACACTAAGTGCCTGGAAACCATGACACTGCCTTTTCTGTCTGCCACAAAACTGAAAGTTTAACTGAGGTCACCTTAGCCACCAACCCTTTCGTCAAATACCCTTCTGCATGCGCTTCCTCTTAATGTTTGTCAAGTCCAGTGGCCTTATCACCAAGCGGATAGGTCAGGTGTACTGTCTCTTCTAGATAGGTCAGGTGTACTGTCTCTTCTAGTTCTGCTGGTGTTATTCTGTATCTGTTAGTCCCGCGGACGGAGCAACAGCCTGATGGACACTAAAGAGCAACTTAAGAGTGAGGTCTTTCCCCTTCAGTGGGCTTCACATTTCACTTCTGACCTAGCCATTCACCTCCGAACGGTTCTTTTTTTTTTTAATTAAAGATTTTATTTATTTGACAGAGATGACAAGTAGGCAGAGAGGCAGGCAGAGAGAGGTGGGAAGCAGGCTCCCCGCCAAGCAGAGAGCCCGATGTGGGGCTCGATCCCAGGACCCCGAGATCATGACCTGAGCTGAAGGCAGAGGCTTTAGCCCACTGAGCCACCCAGGCGTTGGCAGCTCCTTGGCAAAGGTAAAAGGCCTTTCCTTTCTGTTGGTTTGACACAGTAAACTGTTTCCAGTGGTTTAGACGGGGGATAGTCTTTATTTTAGAGGAAACAGTCCACGTCTCTGGGGCCCCCTTCTTATCCACCTTTGAAGTTAGGAAGAGTCAGACAGATCTCTGTTCAGATTATTAGGAAAACTTGGAATGCTAGTCATTTAAGATTTTGTCAGCAGGTGGCACTTCTCTCCTTAGTCACTAAATACAATCTCTCCAATAAAAGAAATACTGCTTTCCTTGGCTTCTACTGAGTTCCTCAGAATTGGTTAGCCACCCCAACATTTCTCCCCAGTTCCTTTTCACAGTGATTTAGTCTACAGTATCTCTTTATGTATTTTAATTTTATACTTTTCCCATGAGATTTGAAATTGTTTATAGCATACAGTGTACAATGGCAAAATATGAGGAGGAGAACAGGAACTGCAATAAAGAATACACAATTTGGTTCCGAGTTGTGGGTAACTGGAGCAAAAATACACACAAATGTGTACCATTCCTCTGGAAGAATGGGCAACAGGAATGACTTTTCTAATTTTCAATGAATTTGAAATTAAAATGAAAGTTGTTACCTGGGGTTGTTAGAGACAAGTTTCTGCTATGCCCTTCTCATCACGCTAACCTAATTTATAGTGACTCCTGATCTGTAAAAAAGGAAGCAGCACTTTTAAGGGTGCACAATTAGCATCCCTCCTTTTCAGGAGGAATTCCTCCAATTCAGCTTTTCAAGATGCCAGCCTCAACCATTCATTCATCCTACAAAGATTAAGCTCTGATGGTCTACGGGGCTTTTCCCTGGACCTTGGGAAGACAAGCATTACCCCTAAGGCTTGGGCGTGCCAAATCAATTTATAAGATTTCCTTCAGAGAGAGCGCTTTCTAGTTGGAGAAAAGATCTACGTTTATACCCATTAATAACTAGAAGGCTGTATCAGGCAATGCTACAATCAAGTGCTAAATCTGTGTGATTGGTCTTCATAGGATTCTAGGGTTGTTCTGCCTATTTAAAAGAAATCGGTAAATTTCAACGCGTTTCTAACAGAAACCCAGTTTGAAATTGTGGGTTCCCTTATCAATACCGGCTGTTAGAAACGGCGTGGTCCTCGACAGCCGAGGCAGGCGGGGGTGCTGGGGCTGCTGTGAGCAGAGGGCGAAGAGAGCCCCTCCATACCCGCCCCGCAGCCCGCGGGCTGCTCGATGACGATTCACCCGAAGCTCCTCGCCCCGCCCACTGTTGGACCCGCACCCAAGTTCGCGGCCCTGCGCCCGCCCCGGGGAGGTGGCGGCGTCGGTGGGGCGGGCGGCTTTGTGGCGCGCGCGGGTTCCAACGCAGGCGGCGCGGAGGCGGGGCCGGGCCGAGGCGTCCACCGCTCCCGGCACTGGGCAGGGCTTCGGGCGCCGCGCATGGCCGGCCCCGCAAGGTCTGGCTTCCCCTCGCACACGAATAGCCGTCTGGACGCGTTCCTGCGGAGGCAGCTGCCCCCCGAGGTCTACGACGCCATCCGCGCCTACGAGCCGTGCATCGTGGTGTCCGAGTCGGAGAAGCACGCCTTAAAGTACGTGGTGCTCAGCGATCGGCTCATCTACCTGACCGAGAACCCGCCCAAGTCCATCCGGCGAGCCCTGGCGCTGCGGGACGTCGAGGCCATTGACCTGGTGAGGAGCGCGGGCAGACAGGCGGGCTCGTGAGAACTCCCCTCTTGGGTCCCCCAATTCCAGCCCTCAGTATGCAGGAAGAGGGAGGAGGAGGCAGACCTTCCCCATCCCTCCCTGGATTCCCGTACTTTTTAAAAAAAACTTACTTTAGGACTAGAAGCCACAGGAAAACTGTGGATTGCTTTATGTACTCCGAATAAAGATACCTTGCCCCTTCTCATCATGTGTACTGGTCATCCCTTGTGCCCCCCAAATAGGGCTATCTGTGTGAGAACATAGCCCCCTATAAAAATTATGCTTTAAAGTCACTTTTTTCGTTCATTAAGCGCCTAGCCTGTGCCAGTCCCTTGTTCTAGACACTGAGGATGCAAAAATGAAATAGGGCCCCTTCCCAGAAGCTGCTGTGGGAGAGAAAAAAAAGCCCCAAATAATGCAAATAAATGCAGTGTACTAAGTACTATTATGTCTTGTTTACTTTTTTATCAACAGTGCTTAGAGCGCGTTAGGTGCTGGATAGGAGTAAGTGAGTGAATGAATGAATGGATGGGATGAGCACAGGACCCCCGGCAATCTCAGGAAGGTCACTTGATCCAAACTAGACTTCAAAACTTCTTGAAGAAGATATAGTCTGGCACACACACGCCTTGTCCCAGTTTTTAGTGTGCTGCTACTGTATTCCTTTCCTTCAGGAATAAATTTACTTTATAAACCAGCAACACATTGGAAGCAGTCTCTTCTCCAATTACAGTTTTTTTCCCCCTTGGCTCCCTTTAATCTGAGCTGTTGTCCAGATGTGTTCCTTTTTCCACTGGGGACAGGTGTCTAGCCTCATCTCCCATCTCCACCCCCCTCCCCTTAGTCTCTGCATCTCCCAAAGGAGAAATTGGCGAGACTTGGTGGGGCTGTTTTGCCAAGACAAGCATAACTTGTTTGGAACACATCTGTAAGAAAAGGTTACAATTTAGTGAAAAGAAAAAAGCTTTTATTTTTTTCTCCTTAAAATATCTCTGTGGTTGGGGCACCTGGGTGGCTCAGTGGGTTAAAGCCTCTGCCTTCGGCTCAGGTCATGATCCCAGGGTCCTGGGATCGAGCCCCGCATCAGACTCTCTGCTCAGCAGGGAGACTGCTTCCTCCTCTCTCTCTACCTGCCTCTCTGCCTGCTTGTGATTTCTGTCTGTCAAATAAATAAATTTAAAAAAAATCTAAAAAAAAAAAAAATCTCTGTGGGCTAATATCACTACGTAAATTTACTTGTGGTTTTTTTTTTTTTTTGGGTAAAAGTTGGAAGCAAAAGTGCTTTTTTCCTATTTTCATTCCCTTGAAATAAAAATTTTAAAAATGTATATCCTTTATCAAATGCTTTTTAAAACATTAAATGTTTAGCTTTTTCTACTGTCTGCAGTGTAAACATTTATTGTTTTGACAAAATGAAATGATTTTAGGATATTGTTACTTGCCCTGACAAGAGAGTATATGTATTCCAACTGTTATATATTGTTCTTTCTGAGCTGTCAGAATCTGAAAAGTACAGTAAAGTTTCCTAGGCCTCCAAGCCAAGAATCTTCCCCAGAGGTATACCAATTCATCTGGTAATCCTTTATGTACAAAATTTACCTTTCAAAAAAAAAAAAAAAACTTTCAGGCATATAGAGGAATGTGTAAAGGAGCTGAACAAGTCTAAGATTTCAGCATTGTTGACAGACTGGCTGTCCATCTTGCACAATAGAGTTATGTTAGGAAGAATAATGGCCCCCAACGGATATCCCTGGACCCTGTAAATATGTCACATTACATGGCCAAGAGGAATTAAAGTTGCAAATGCAATTAAGGTTGCTTGCTCATCAGCTGACTTTAAAATAGGGGTATTAAAAAAAAACAGTGTCCAATAAACAAACCAAAAAGAAAGAAGAAAAGAAAAGAAAAAGATAAGAAAAAAGAAAAGAAGGCAGGCAAAATAAGTAAGTCAAATAGGGAGATTTTGGATTACCTGGGTGGGCCCACAGTTGTCACAAAATCCTCAAAAGTGGAAAAGGGAGGCAGAGTGCTGCAGCACAACAGATTTAGTTCTGAAGGTGGAAGGGGCCGGAAGCCAAGGAATCTGGGCAGCCTGTAGAAGCTGGAAAAGGCAGGAAACAGGTTTTCTCCTAGAGCATCCAGAAGGAGTGCATTCCTCTTGACACCTTGATTTTAGCCCTGTGAGACCCATTTTGGACTTCTGACCTCCAGAACTATTAGAGAATAAATTTGTGTTGTAGAATGCCACACGTTATGTGGTACTATGTTACAGCAGCAAATGAATACAGAAATGTTTCTTATTAATGTTGTTTGTTTGTTTATTGAGGGAGAGAGAGAGAGCTCCTGTCTGGGGGAGTGGGGGCAGGGGTTGGGGGCTGGGGGTGGAAGGAGGGCAGAGGGAGAGGGAGAGAGAAAATCTTAAGCAGGGTCCACACCCATTGAGGAGCCCAACTCAGATCTCAGTCTTACAACCCTGAGACCATGACCTGAGCTGAAAACACAAGTCTGACACTTAACTGACTGAGCCACCCAGGTGCCCCATCCTATTAATGTTGTTTAAAATGGGTTATCATTGGGGCGTGTGGGTGACTCAGTTGGTTAAGCATGAGACTCTTGGTTTCGACTCAGGTCATGATCTCAGGGTTGTGAGATTGAGACCTGAGTTGGGCTCCCCACTCAGCAGGGAGTCTGCTTGGGACTCTTACTCTCTGCCCCTTCCCCTGCCCTCTCTCTTTCTCCCTCTCTCAAATAATTAAAGAAATCTTTTTTAAAAATTGGTAATCAGGGGCGCCTGGGTGGCTCAGTTGGTTGAGCAGCTGCCTTCAGCTCAGGTCATGATCCCGGACTTCCAGGATCGAGTCCCGCATCGGGCTCCCAGCTCCCTGGGGAGTCTGCTTCTCCCTCTGACCTTCTCCTCTCTCATGCTCTCTCTCACTCATTCTCCCTCAAATAAGTAAATAAAATCTTTAAAAAATAATAATAAAAAATAAAAATTGGTAATCATTTTTAAACAATATTGTTTCAGTGAGAAATAAATATAATCAAGTTGAGTACAAATGCCTTAACCATCTCTTTTCCTGAGGCTTTGTAAAATAATTCTAGCATTATTATAGTTCAGTGCCTTGGACAGCTTTGCAGGTGAGTGACATATAGGTATCAGAAAATTGCTGGTAAAGGTACTAGGTATAGTACCAATTAGTAGCCACAGGTGGAGTTGACTAACCATCCCTCTATGAACATTAAATCCTCACTTAATAGCACAATGGGGAGAATTTTCCTGATTTCGGTGTTATATGTCATATATTTGTCTCTTATCCATGCTAACACAGTCACTTCAATTACATGATTTTTTAAAATTTAAATTTTATTTATTTGACACAGAGAGATAGCAAGAGAGGGAACACAAGCAGGGAGAGTGGGAGAGGGAGAAGGAGGCTTCCCTCGGACCAGGGAGCCTAATATAGGGCTCAATCCCAGGACCCTGGGACCCTGGGACCACAGGACCTGAGCCAAAGGCAGAGGCTTAACGACTGAGCCACCCAGGCGCCCTCAATTACATGATTTCAGTGCCAGGCAGCTTTGTTTTTTAGAACCAGTTCCTCCTTCCTTGAAAGATAAACTGTTTACTCTCCTTTTTTATTTATTTATTTATTTTTTTAGGGCGCTGTCCTCCTTCTAAGGCCATCTCTTTAGACATCCTTTTCCATTCTCAAAGGTTTTCTCATCTTACTGTACACATTTGGTTATTTAACTTTCAGCCAGTTCAGGTTCCCATTCTGCCTTTGTTCTAGCTGTCATGGTAATAAAGCCCCTAAGCCAACGCATCCTTTATTACCTCTGCGCCCCAGCCCTCCCGGTTCCATGTTCGATCAGATTTCTTATTTATTTCATGACACATTTTGCGGTTACAACACTTCAGAATATAATTTGCAAACATGCAGATAAAATTCCACTCTCTTCCCTTCCAAAAGAAAAATGGAAGGTAAAAGCAACAAAAAAATTAGGCTAGAACTTGGCATTGGATAAAACTGAGATTTCCTTCCCAGCAAAGATGAGCTTAAAGCACACGGGGAGATCTCCATTGGTGTTTGATATGGTTCATCTCCTAAAACAAAGAGTTTCTAAGGTTGCTAGGGCAGAGCTTTTATTAAAAGGCTGATATTTTCTTTAACAGTTACTTTTGGAAGAATCCTCTAGCGTTCTGCTCTTGTGGGCATCAAAACATTTCTTTAAACTCTTCTAAGATTAAATACGTATTTTTTAAGTGCAAGAAGCTACTACCCAGAAGTGAATTTTCTATGAATTCACTCATCTTCAATGCCATACCATCACCTACCAAGAAAAACAAATCTGTCAAATCCAGCAGCCTTCACCTCTTAACCTCTTACCTGTCTTTCTTCACCTCTTCACCTCTTAACATCTTACCTGTCTTTGTCCTTGTATTTTCACCACTCCTTCCAGGGAGTATGGGCTCTCCAGCCATCCCAGGCTCCATGTGGCTTCCCGACTGGGCAACAAATGTATGTTTTACATCCTGGCCTGTTGCTCATGGTGAACATGTTCTCCCCCTTCAAGGTCATTCATATCATCATATTTATAATCCTCCTCTTCCTCTCCTCCTCTCTCTCTAAAACATGTAAAAACAAGGGTTCCTGGCTGGCTCAGTCAGTAGAGCATGTCACTCTTGATCTCAAGGTTGTGAGTTTGAACCCCATGATAGGCACAGGGTTTACTTAAAAAATAAAAAAAAGTAAAAACATCTTGGCTTGAACAGAAACAGGTCACAGACTGTGAATTAAAAGGGCTCCACGAGTTTGCCAACTGATCCCCACTTTGCCCACTTCTGTATTCAGAGCTGACATGTTTCTAGGCTAAGCCCATCATTCTTTCTCTGGGTTTTTCCTTGGCTAGGCCACGAGGCGGGACTCTTGGCCCATTTTGTTCCCTGCTGTATCTCTGGTTCCTAGAACACTGCCTGGCACAGAGGAGATGGTCAATAACTATTTGTTAAAAACTCGGGGCACATGAGTGGCTCAGTGGGTTAAGCCGCTGCCTTCGGCTCAGGTCATGATCTCGGGGTCCTGGGATCGAGCCCCACATCGGGCTCTCTGCTCAGTGGGGAGCCTGCTTCCCTTCTCTCTCTGCCTGTCTCTCTACTTGTGATCTCTGTCTCTGTCTCTCTCTCTCTGCACCAAATAAATAAATAAAATCTTAAAAAAAAAAACAAACTCAACATGATCTGTTTCTCCATTTATTAACTGCCATACACATTGGGGGGCATTTAATAATTCATTTCTTAATAATACGTTTTCATTCAGCTTTTGCTCTCTACCTGTGTAGACTTGGTCTAGTTATTTACCTGCTAGTCTGCACCTTCATTCCTCATCTGTAAAATGGAGATAACAGCGCCTTCCTTAGAGTTTACATCAATAAATGTAACACACTTAAAAGAGTACTTGGCACATGGTAAGAGCTACTACATGTTACTATTGATAACCTTTATTCATACATAGTAAGTCTATTAAGGCTCACAGTGAATCTGTAATATAGATATTATCTTCTCTTATTATATTAGGGCACTTGAATTTAGGAAATTTAGCAAACTGGAAAGAAAATAACTTTTTTTTTTGAGCACTGATTATATATTCAGGGTTTTAAATACATTATCTCATTTATCCTTCTTGAAAATCTGCCCAGTAGGTTTGTCAGGTTTAATATGTCCAAAAACAGAATTCCTGATCTTCACCCTCCAAATCTGTTCCTTTTCCTTTAGCTTTCCTTATTTTAGGAAGTAACATCTTCCATCAGCTTTAATTTTCTCACTCCCCACATCCAACAATCAGTATATCTCCTTGATTTGTGTAGAGGAGGAAAAAGTTTCCCTTGATCCTCTCAGGGTTCCTGGCTGGGTCTGAATATTAAACTGACAAAGGCAGATTAACAGGAGAAAAGCCTACAAATTTATTTAATACAAATTTTACATGACATGGAAGCCTTTATAAGGAAATGGAAGACCTGAAGAAATAAATCTATGTGTGTTTAATATTAGGTTTGATGAAGAATAGAGAGTCATGGAAAAGTGGGATAGTACAGAAAAGGGGGTATGACTAAGAATAATAAACTAGGGAAAACTAGCAAGAGCTGTTTGGATTCCTCTCACTGTCCTGTCTTGTGTACAGGGAGGGCACCTCTCTTAGACCTGCTTCAAGGGAGCAGGGTGGAGAAAGGTCAGAGAGAATTTCCTGCATATGCTGTTTTCTCAAATTCTTTCAGCTCAAAATATTCAGTATACCAAGGTGCTATATTTTGGGGGAGTGTGTTCTGAACCTTGTCACTTCTCATCCAAAATGTATTCAGCCATGACCTTTCTTGTTGCTTCTACTTATGCCACTTATCCAATCCCTTATCTAGACCATTGGAGTTGCCTCTAAACTCATTCCTCCATCTAGCAGTTGGGATGATCTTTTTAAACATAAATGGTAAATTAAGTTATATCATTCTTCTGTTTAAAAATCTCCATTAGCTTTCAAATTCTTTATTGCCTATCAGAGCCTCCATGATAACTCCTTTATCTCTGACTTATCTCTCATTCTTCTCTAAACTCTTTATGTTCTTTACTGCCTCAGGGCCTTTGTACATGCCATCCTAGCCAGAACACTCTTCCTCCAGATCTTCAGAGGATTGATTCCTTCTTATCAGTCATGTTTCCAAATTCAGCATCACCTCCAGAGGGATGCCTCGCATGACCACCCAATCTAAAGTACCATTCTTATGTCACACTCATCATATCTGTTGGCTTCCAAGCACTTATCACTATCGGCATTGTAAGATTAATCTGTTTAATGACTTATAATTGTGTATCTTTCATACAATGTAAGCTCCATGAGGTCATGTCTGTCTTGTTCATCCCTGGGTCGCTGTGCATGCATCATATTACCTGACACACAGTAGATTATCAATAACTATTTGTCAATTAGAAGAATGAATAAATGAATAAACAGATGTTCAGATACATCATATCATTTACCTCTCAGAGGGAGAGATCCTCTTTCCTTATTCCAAGTGTTGAGAGACCCTGGAGACTTGACAATCTGTCGCATA